ACAGTTTGTTTTCTCTAGGTCAATAGAAGACTCCAGATATAATTTCATATTTCTTTGAACTCTCGATTCTGATGTCTAGATCTTCCTTTAAAAAGCCCACTAATTGTTTTAGATAACACCCAGATTGGTCTTCCTTTGGATTAACTTCAAGTCAACCAGTTAAAGACCTAAATTACATCTGCAAAATTCCTTCACCTTTGCCCTACAAGGGAAATGAATCATGAGAATGACATTCCATTATATTCATATATCCCATCCACATTCAAGGAGATGGGGCTTAGACAAAGCCATGAGTCAGTGGGGGTCACCTTAGAATTCTGCCTACCTCAGACAGTTAAGAAAAGGTTCTTAATATTAGCACTAGGTGAATATTAGCACTAGGAAATTTAGGATCCACCCAAAACCTTGCATTAACTTCTTTCTTGCTCCCAAACAAAAAAACTTCACCACAATATTCTGAAACTTTGCTACTCAAAGTGTGGTTCACAGACCAGCAGCAAGGACATCACTCGGGAAAAATGCAAAGTCTCAGGTTCCACCTCAGACTAGGGAGTCAGAATTGTCTGCATAGTAACAAGATTCCCAGGGGATCTGAGACGTACTGATCACGAGTATCGGATAATTCTTAAACAAAGGGGGCACATGAAGTGAGAGCTAATGTTCAATGCATGTGCTCTGCTCACCCCAGCCCTCTCAGAATGGTTTCTGAAATTCTGCTGTCAGAACCTCATAATCTGATGATGACAATTATGATAATATTGATAGTTAATGCTTACTGAACATCCATCAGGAAGTAGGGAAAATTAAAAAATGTATTATTGTTTTAATTTTTCAAATATATATGAATTACATACTATTGCTTTCATTTTAGAGATTAAGACATTGAGGATTATAAAAGTTAACTAACTCCTCTGAGGAAACACATATAGAAGTGGTGAGGCCAGGATTTGATACTCATTCCTTCAATTTAGGGTTACAAACTCATATTGTCACAAGTTGTCAAAGCTAACAAAGTGGGGCTCACAGACCACATCAATTTATTTATATACATATATACACACACACACACATCATTCAGTCAAAGTGTTGGTGTTATTTTTCATTGCCTGTTTTTTCCAAGGGACAAGCATAGTCCAATTGGCCATAGGCCCTGTCACTGGCAGCCTCACAGATTTGACTTGGAACCCGAATACACTCAGGTTTGCAATCCCCAGTTAAGTCCAAGTATTCTTAAATTCCTCTTGACATTTCATAAAAAATGTGGATGGTATGAATACTCTCTATAGATTCTTAAAAATAACAAAGAACCCTGGTCTCTAATCCATCCCTTTCTTCTAGTGAATGAAACTACCATCCAGAAATATGAAGTTATGTTCCTAAGTCAAATAGCAAGTCATATCCAGGTTTTAAACTGGGCTCTTTGCCCCAAAATCAAGTGTTACAATCATTTGCCTCCCATGTTTAGGAAATGATTTATACTTAATATGAAACAGAGAATGAAGTTTAATACAGTTTCTCATATTTCTCCCTTAATTATGCTACTGGTGAGTCAAATGCCTAGTTATTCAATGAGAATCGTCACATCAATGACAGATTCAGAACACAGGTTTTGAGAAAATAAGTCTATGATTAATTTATAAAGGGTGGGGCAGGGAGGAAAGAGATGGAACAGGGTTGTGGACTCAGCCTTGATTATACATCAGACTTGCCTGGGAAGCTTTAAAAGCAACTGATGCTTGGGCTCCAACCCCCAAGTTCCTGATATAATTGGTCCTGTAATAGGGGGCGCCTGGAAATGGGGGAAGATTTGAGCTATACATGTGTGACTAGAGACTCTACCCACTTAGGAGACTACTAAATAGGGCTGCTGGAAGGGAATCAAAGGCATTCAAGCCGATACTGGACCTCATTGGTTAGAAGGCTGGACACTCCCACTGGCCTTTGGGGTGCATAGGATTCTGGGAGAGGACTTATGAAATAAAGCATGTCAGGAAGTAGACAGTTGGTTCTTTCCCCTCTCCCAGTTGGGGGTGGGGTAGCTTCAACAGTTACCAGCAGGCCTGCCAGCTGTGGCCAGTGCAGACCTGTGCACAGAGACGTTGGGGCACAGACTCTGAAAGGTGCTTGGAGCTGGACAATGACTGGAGACCAGCTAAACCACCTACAGACATTTCTGGGTAGGAGAAGAGGTTCCTGGTGCAGCCCTAAACTGAGCTGGCAGAAGGTGTTAGGGTGATTTTTTGGGGGTGTCTTAGAAGGAATGGGCTTTGAGGCAGAAACTTGCCATTATTCCCACAGAATTTGGTGATAATCTTCAGCACTATGAACAGATTTTTGTTCTTGTATTATTTTCAGTTCTTGAACCTATATAGTAGTTGTAATGACCAATATTTAAATAGCTATTTTGATGTCATATTCTTTGTCTTTCCCCTTACTTTTGTAACCCAGATATTTTAGACAGAAACATGCCATTAAATAAAAGATTCCTTTCTTTTCCACCAAACTCTGAGTTTGAAGATTTGCCTGGTGAATGGTAGGACCACCACCCCTGACTGGTTAGTTTTGGTAACAGTCCTGGGTATACGGAATTTTTAAAGCTTCTTAGGTGATTCTAATGGTAAGTCGGGGCTGAGAACCACTGGAGCAGGGACTCTGAGGTGCTACAGAATCAAAATCATCACTATTTTTCTTGTGGCCACACTGGGTTTGGCCCATCAGCTGGCCACAGAAACTTTCATACTCCTTTTACATTTTTACTGCCCTCTCTTTCTTTAAAGCAACACTTGTTTGTGGGCAGAGAACAAAACTGATAGGAGACTAAGGTCAAGTTTCAGACACTAATGGACTCATTCGTTCCTGTTGTGCCTGCTTCTCCATCTGTTAAACAGAATAATCTTACTTAACACCTCCCCACTCCTAGTATTCATGTAAAATACAGTAGAAGGTCTCTGAAAATTCTTTTTTTAAATGGCCTCCAAGGCTCTTGTCCTGAAATAACTTGTAGTTTGCCACTGGACAAGAAACCTCCTCTTCTTATCTCCTAAGGAAGAGGTTCTCAAAAAGTGTGGTTCCCAGACTTTAATAAGTTCAGCACCACCTTGGAACTTATTAAAAATACAAATCCTTGCCACGCACATACACACATACCTCCCTAGTGAATTAGAAATTCTGACAGGGCCCAGAACTGTGTTTGAATAAGCCCTTAGGTGATGTTGTAAGTTCAGGTTTGAGAACTACTGGCCAAAGGCCCTGTTATGATCAAGTGTCCCCAGATGTCCTATCAAAAGACACTATCAAGTGTCCCTATATAGAGAGCAGGTGATGATAACATTAAAAAATGCAAATCTATTCAGTTGCTTTGTCACAAAAGGCCAACTCGCTTCTTCTGGGGGAGGAGCGGGGAGGAATCTATAAATTTCTGAATCACTCAGGGGTTTGTTGTCAAACAATTGGACTTTGAAGACTGGAGTAGGAGCAGGGATGTTGAAGGTTAGGCCTGCTGTCAGGGCATGAAAGAAGCTCCCAGGCCAACTGGGAACAAATGGGCAGAGACCTCCTTCTTACCTTTTGGGATAATCAAAGAGGCTAAAAAATGAAAAATACAATTAAAATGGATAAGACTGTGATGAGATTTGAAGGAAGAGGCATTCTTTTATACCATACTGGGAAGTGAAATCATGCAGCCTGTGTTAATGGAAAGAAATGCACTGTTCTCTTTGGAAAGTAGAGTTCAGAGACATAGGCCAGGGAGATGCACTTGGTGGGGTTGGGATGGACTGCAGAGAGGAGGCCAGCAGCCTGGCACCACAGACATGAGCTGCTGGGATGGACTGGGAAGTTCAAGCCCTGCAACAGCCTCAGCTTACAGAAGAAGAAACTCAGAGATGATTGTTAGAGCTGGGACCTGGAGGTACAAGACTCCTCATGGATCTGGGGTTCTAAGAAGATGAAAAGTTTTCAAAGGGGCATCAGATTCAATAGGAAGAATGTCTAATAGTGAGAGCAGGCACTTAGGCAGTACCCACCTTGTGCCAGGTACAATTCTAAGTGCTTTTTTTGATTCAGATTCATGTACTCTTCCCACCACCTTGGTGGTCCTTCTCCTCATTAAGATCACAGTGAATGGATGGAGAAACTGAGGCACCAAGAATGTAAAAATAAATTGTGTAATTTGTTTCATTATAATTGAGATACAAATATATTTTTTAAAGAATCATGCCCAGTTTATTGTTATTTCATGAGAATATGCAAGGTAAACATATCTCTTCCTGACTGTTGATTACTGGTAAGCTGTTGGCTCCTGGGTGAACAACTTGTACTCAAATGGCACTCCATAGCCATTAGAGTACAGAATATTCTAAAGACAGTTACATTATGAACACATACATTACTACCTCACACAGATAGTAAGAGGCAAAGTCAAAACTTGAACCCCAGGCCCTTTAGCCCCAGGGCTCACACTTTTCCACCAGACTACTTGTGACTCTTCTGAGAAAAGCATGAGTGCTGGTACCCAACTGGCTCCAGGAGTCAGCATAAGAAAACCAGTGTTAGAAAATTATACTTACTTTGAAAAAGAAAATATGCCCACTAGAAAATCCCATGATCCTCCTAAAGAAGAAAATCTGAGTTCAGTGTAAATCTCACAGGCATGACTTCCCAAGGGGTGGGGACCTGTACACAGCAGTTTGTTTCTCTCACAGAATCCCACAGCACTTTTGCCTATAATTTTGACTCACTGAATGTCCTCAGAGGTTTCAGAGGTTTCTGATCTAGTCCCTTTGGTGACAGAGAATCTGAAGACCTAAAAAGCCAAAGTTGTCTTCATATGGGTGAAGAAGGTCACACAGATGAGGATGGTCACCCAGAAGAGACACCTGAGATCCAGAGACATCAGGAGAACTACCTGAGGCTCCATCCAGAAATAGAGCTCTGGAATCCTTACTCACAGGTCTCTCTATCTCCCCTCACCCTCCTTTCCTCTCTAAAAAGCCTCTTACCTGCAGCTCTGCATTTTCCACCTCGTTGCTTCCTGCCTGGGGAAGGCTGCCAGGCCTGACTTTTACCTCAGTGGAAGCTCAGGGTAGGGATATATATTCTCATCCTCCAGGGATTTCCTAATCAGACTGTGTCACTCTCTGACTGGGTGCTGGACACACCTTTTCCCTCTTGACAAGGGAGCACCCCAGGCTATAGAGCTGGATGCAAGATCACTCAGATGGGGAAGTGACTGAGGAAACTCTGCGTAAGTTTCCCTATTTTTTTTTGTTTGTTTATTTGTGACACCAAGACTTATGTACTTCTAGCTGAGAGGTGGTTTCAAAGTGGTGTGTACTTTGACCAACTGAGGTCCTATTAGAGAAGAAGAGACTTTTAGTCTTTAATCAGTGGGATGGGATTGAAGGAAGGTTAAGCTTTGAATACCCCCAAAATGAAGTTGGTTGAGCAAGGGGTAAAAGTTACACTGTATCTATGTTTATTTTTTCCAAAGACAGAGGGAATATTTGTATTTGTTCCATAATTAAATCATGGTAAGATTAAAGAGTGAGCTATAAATTTAGGGTCAAGCCAAGTAAGTTTCAAAGGTATAAATTCACCCCATCAGGAAAATCTCACCAGATATCATCATCCCAGGATAAAGAGCATAAAAATAATTGAGCTTTCTCTACACTCTCTATGGTCACAGACATCAAGCATCCCAGTCCTAGCTGACCTGCCTTGGTTGGGATTCTATTCACTAAATAACACAAGGGCAGCCCACAGCTTAATATAACCAAAGAGAGGAAGTGAAATCATGTAATCTGTGTTTGGCCATGCTGAAGTATAACTGCTAGTCTTGTGATCCATAAAGAGGAATTTATATAACCTCATGTCTTGCTATGGGAAAACTCCATCACAGAGCCACAAGAATTGCTTAACAAGGCCTTTCAAGAACTCATGCCTCAGACCCAATAGTCAGCCAAAAGTCCCCAGTCTGCAGTCACACTCAGGGAATGATGGCCGCATTTTCTACATCCCTTCATTTTCATCCATGGCCTACACTGCCCTGATCTCACTATCTCGGGTACATTTGGCTCAATTACTGCACCAACAGATGGGAAATAGACCAGGCACAGAATGTCCTAAAGTATTTCAAAATCCCTTGAGGTTTTAGGTGAAAGTCACTCAGGATGTTTATTGCAAAGATCGAAGTAATGAGTCTTCACTTTTTAGAGCAAGAAAGCATTTCCAGAGTCTATTCTGGTTCAAAAATCAGCAGTATCCTCTGAAAACCCTTTTGGCAAGATTCCAACCCCTTTCCTTCCTGTGATGTGGAGGCCAGAGGGCTGGAGAATGTGAGAAGGGCAGGAGAGGAGGAGAGCATGTGCTGGCCTCTCTGTCACATACTATAAGGGGGACTATTTGTCTCTGCTTTTATGAAACAGCTTCTGTTATAATATACCCATAAATTCACTAATTTTTAACAGATCAGAGTCCTTAAATTTAATTCAAGAAAATACAGTATGAAGGAGACACCATTCCATGACAGGACAGCTGTCTGACCTACGAAGATGGCTCTGGACCAGAACAAAGATTGCTTGCTACAAACCTCCCTAAGAGACTGTCTAATCATAACTGATATTCATTCTGACTTAAATCAATGCATGCCCTACTTCCCACTACATGCTTGTTCCTGGTTGTCTGGCCTTGTCAAGCATGTAATTTCTTGTACCTGGCAGCATTCACATCCTAGTACCCATCACTTTGCCCTTTCTGTCCTGGATAACTCCTTGGCACCTGCCAAGCAGCATAGGGATCAGTTTCTTTTTGAAGCCACCCAAGATGCACTCCATAAATTAAGTTGCTCTTGGTACACTCAATTAATTACTAGCAGGAGTGGCCAACCTCTTTTCTTTAGTCTTTCCCTGCTCTCCCCCTAGGAGGTAGATTTTCAGTCTCAGGACCTTTCCCTGGGTCTGCATGCAGTACCATATCGTCATTAAATTCATAACACCAATTTGGCATTCAGACCCCACAAAACTGAAAATTTTAAGGCCTGCTATGCTCATCTAGACAATAACAGAAAAAAAGTTTGTGTCCTAGAAGCAGGAGATAAAATGTTCCCTTACATAAACAGTATACAAATTAACAAAGTCAAAATAGAAATACTGATTACAGTAGCTTTGGTTTCCTCATCTGTAAAAGGAGAAGGCTGAGGTGAATGAGATCTCTATTAGATCCTAGAGCTGCTGTAACCAATTACCACATATTGTGACTTCAAACACCACCAATTCTCTTCCAGTTCTAGGGGTCAAAGTTCTGACACAAGTTTCAGTGGGCTAAAATCAAGGTGTTAATCATGCTCATTCCTTGTGAGGCTCCAGGAGAAAATTGTTTTCTTTCCCTTCCTAGCTTCTAGAAGTTGTCATTATCCCTGGGCTATTATCCCCAGCACATCACTTTTTCTCCCCCTATTCCATCATCATGTGGTCTTCTCTTCCCTGACACTCTTATAAGGACCCTCATGAGTATACCTGACATCCTTAATTTAACCATATCTGTAAAATCCCTTTTGCCATATAGAATAACACAATCATCAGTGCCAGGGATTAAGATGTGGCCATGTTTAAGAGACCAGTGTTCAGCCTCCCACAAGTTCCACCATTCCTTCCAGTTCTCACAGTTTGTACTTTGTGATCATAAATAGAAGCATAGAAAATGGCACTATGTAACTATGGATTGAAACCCAATTCCCTTCACAGGGAAGGCTGTTTAGAATATATAGAAAGAGTATTCAAAGAGCTTCTGAGAGCCACAGGAGAGATTTTATTTTGCAAGTCAATTCAGAAAAACTCCATTGTCTTTTATGAAAAGGCCTTTTCTTTCCAGCCTTTCCTTTTGCTTCCTTCTTTTCACCCTGGTTTTCAGTGAGAGACACTGGGAAGGGGTGAGAATTCCAGGGCAACCATGATACTAACAGCCATAGTCACTCTCTTCCTCCACCCTCCTGAGGACCTAGAGTGAAGAAGGGTGAAGAGCTGGAAGCTGGTCCCATTTTATGCTTACTTTTCCCTCCCTAGGGCACTCGGACTGGATCCAGGACTGAATGCCCCAGAGCTCTTTGGGTCCCCACTCCTCCAACCACAAGCAAGCCTTCCCTCCACATGGATCTCAAGAAGCACAGGCAGGCCCCACCTACTCTTATTTAAGGACCATTGTCCTTAAATAAGATGTTCATGGAATGTTCCCTGAGGGGCCCTGCTTCTCTCAGCCTTGTTCTGTTACCTACTGGGTCTGGGATCTGCCAGTGCTGGGGACCTGGTTTAGGGTGAGAAACACCCTAGATGCTAGCCTCCCCATCTGCGGGAGAATTGAAAAAAAAATCCTGTTACTTCCTGTTCAGGGAATCGGAAAAGGGAAATATTTCTCCTGATAGATCTGTGATCTCTCTCATATTGTTAATTCTATTATTCTGCTGTGGAGCTCCAATTCACATGTCCACCCAACAAAGGCAAGCAGAAGGACTTGCTTGCCAACAGTCCCAGCTTCTTTCCGATCTGATCCAAACTGAAAGAGAATAGACTAAATCATGATAACTTCATGCACACAATCAAGTCCATCTAAGGCACAATGTCTTTACTGTATATCAGAACTGAGAGCTGCTGCCACCTGGGTCTCTGACATTGATGGCTGACATTGTGCGTCTCTCCCCGTGCCAACACAGAGCCCCAGACTGATGCATGGAGCTGAGACCTGAAGGGTTTGTCCTTATAGGAGGCCACCACCCACCAGCTATTCTTGTCAGGATTCTACTTTATCCTCCTGGCTCCTGTTAGAAACAAAAAACACAAGTAGCTGAACTCTTAAATTGAATTTAGACTCATAGGAATAGTGGTTTAGAAAAAAAAAAAGGTGGTCTCTAACCTAGGACTTGTGTGTGTGTGTGTGTGCATGTGAGCATGTGTGTGTGTGTTGGTTTTTGGAGATTTTTTCTTAATGAAGTCCTACACTGCTACACTTTACGTGCACTCCCCCAGAGCCATGCCAGTCTCCCAGAGCCACTGCTTACACAGCAATTACTATTTCCAGCTAGCACTTGGCAGGGTTTCAGCAGGTAAGGAGAGAGACCCCAGCCGCCACACACACACAAAAAAAAAACTGAAAAAAATTCAAAGCACACTCTCAGGACATTTAAAGATCTATGCCAGAATGGAGTAACAGTCATCAGGTTGTATTGTAAATGTTTATATTTCTTTTTTTTTCCTTTTTTTTATTGATTATGCTGTTACAGTTGTTCTATTCCCCCTTTATTCCCCTCCACCCTACCCCCCATCCCCACCATCACCCCCCCTTTAGTTTATGACCATGTGTCTCAAGTCCTTTAGATTCTATATTTCCCATGCTATTCTTGCCCCCCCATCTATTTTGTATCTACTGTCTATGCTACTTATTTTCTGTACCTTCTCCCCCCTTCTCCTCCTCCCACTCCCCTGTTGATAACCCTCCTTGAGATCTTCCTTTCTATGTTTCCACTCCTGATCTAGCTGTCCTTTTAGTTTGCTTTCGTTTTAGGTGTGGTTGTTAATAACTGTGAGTTTGTTGTCCTTTCACTGTTCATGTTTCTTTAACTTCTTTTTCTTAGATAAGTCCCTTTAACATTTCATATAATAAGGGCTTGGTGATGATGAACTCCTTGAATTTGATCTTATCTGAGACTTATTATTTGAACAAATAATAAAGGAGAATTTCCCCAATCTGACAAAGGAAATAGACTTCCAGGAAATCCAGGAAGCTCAGAGAGTACCAAAGAAGTTGGACCCAAGAAGGAACACACCAAGGCACATCGTAATTACATTAGCCAAGATTAAAATGAAGGAGAGAATCCTAGAAGCAGCAAGAGCTAAGGGGACAGTCACCTACAAAGGAGTCCCCATCAGACTGTCAGCAGATTTCTCAAAAGAGACCTTACAGGCAAGAAGGGGCTGGAAAGAGGTATTCCAAGTCATGAAATCTAAAGACCTACAACCAAGATTGCTCTATCCAGCAAAATTTTCATTTAAAATGGAAGGACAGATAAGGTGCTTCTCAGATAAAATGTTTATATTTCTAAATAAGTGCTTCGGGATTCATCCCAACCTCAGTGACTCTGCAAAACTCAGAGATA